CCAATCAGATTTAAGATTTTGCTTCCATTTCATCCTTTAGTAAACCATACACTCCGTTTCACTACGTTCCTGGTATATTATTTATCGATCTTCAGATCATCTTCGTTCTTATCAATTTCTTCACCATCTTTGTTATTATCAATTTCTTTATCACTTTTGTCCTTATTAATTCCTTCGCCATCTTCATTATTATCAATTACTTTATCATCTTTGTTTTTATCAATTCCTTCGCCATCTTCATTATTATCAATTACTTTATCATCTTTTTTTTTTATCAATTCCTTCACCATCTTCATTCTTAATAATAATTTTATCTTTGTTCTTATTAATTTTTTCTTCATCTTTTTTACGAGGTTCCTCTTCATCTCTATTGATTTGAGCATTTCCCTCTTCAATATGGTTGTATGTCGAGGTTTTCCTTTTTACTTTTTCTCCTATATAATCAAACTTAATACCATATATTTTAGTGGCTATAAAGGATAAAGTTGAAAGTCCTGACGCTATTAAAGCCAAGAGTGGAGTAATTTCAATCTCAACACTATAAGTTAAGTAAATAACCTAAAATAAATTTATAATTTTAGCAAAATTAGGTTAGTTTTGGATTAGGCAAAATATAGTTTATACCAAAATTTTAAGTTCAAAAAAAAAGAATATAAAAGTTTAAACATTAAAATAACAATAGATGAATCCTTAGCTTCGTCCACAACATTAAGAGTTACAATATTTTTTCATGTAATAATGTCAATTAAGATTATTTCAATTTTTTTTCTGAACTAAGCTCAATTTCGACAAAAATTCCCTTGCGCATTATTACTTGAAAATACAATAGAATATTTTTAAAAAAATTTTTTTAAAATACCTGAATAACAAATTGTGGTATATCAGTCAGAAATATTCTAATACAGCCTCCATAAAAAATCGCTTTAATTGCATTTTCTGAAAATGGAGCTCTAAAAATGTCAGAATCAAAAGATCCAATATCGCAATCCAATATATATAGCATATCAATATTTGTAGTCGATAATATTGCAATTATACTAGCAAATCTTCCATGTTGTTCAAACCATACATTGAATTCAGCTTTTAAAAAATATACTATTAAAAGAGCCAGAACTAAATTGAATACTATGGAAATTACATAAAATACTATACTGATTTTTTTTTAATAAAAACGTATAAATTTTAATAAGACATTATAATAATAACATTTATTTAAATGATAACATGACCTTACCTAGGTATGAAAAGGGACTGAATAGCTCTTGCATTATAAAAAACAAATCTTGTGACAGTGACAACAAAATAGAGTAATTCCAAGTTGGATAATAATAAAATTTTCATTGTTTTTCTATATAATTTTTAAATATTAGACATGTTTAAAAGAAATTTAAAATAAAAATACTAATTAAAAATAATTACCTCGTGAGCTTTTATCCAGGCTGCCAAATACAGTATTAAACATATAACTACAGCTACAATTACCGAAAAGAATTCTTTTATATGTAATTTAAAAAATTCCATTGGAGTTACCATTAAAAAATAAATAAACCAGTTAATGGTAATAATAATAGTATAAAAATTTTTAAAAAGACACAAAGTAGCTCTTACATTGTCGTTGAAACCCGTATGTTTCATCTAAAAATTTTGTGTAAGGATCTATTGAAATGCTCGTGAACATTTTATTTCTTATTAACGTGTCTAAATCTTTCTCTATATCCGTTGAAAGCCTATTGTTACCACTTGTCCCCTTAATCGAAAATGATATAAGAAATTTGTCAGATCCAGTAGAAGATACATCAATTTGTTTCAATTCAGTCGAGTACAATCTTTCTTCCTCTATAGGAATTATTTTTGAGAGGCTAACTTTCAAATTAAGAAAAAATTGAGATTTTCCAATAGTTTTAAAATATTGTGTTCCATTTGGTGTTAGTCGTAATTTTCCATTAATATTGCCTAATTTTAATCATAGTTAAAAGTTAGCATAATGTTCGTACAAACTAACCTTATAAGCATAATTAATTACCAGCATATTTTTGACTTGATAAGTCGTTAGCTATATACATTAATCAATCTAATATTAATACAACATTAATAAACAATTGCATAATATAATAACAATAATAAACAATAATATAAACCTAATTGAAAAGTCCATTTATTTGGATTAATTCCCAGTAATGGTTCATTAAAAACTGTGGCCATTACAAAATTATTATCCATTTGTATATAATATTTTCCACCTGGGACATTGAAGGTACAAGAAAGTACTTTTAGATTAATAGTAGTATCATTTAGATTATAGCATTGACTAGGATCACAAGTTCTTGAATTAAACTTTTGTCGAAGATTTGTGCCCTGACTGGTTGTTTGGTAGATATATAAATTGCTATTTGCGATACTTGTGAGAGTAGTGGATTGGTTAAAAGTGATTAAAATCTCACTGGAATTTAATGGTATGATAGAGTTTCGTTTAGGGACTGCTGAGTTCACAAGGAAATTACCATAATTAGATTCTATAAGATAAAAATATAAATATAATTATAAAATTGTTCATATTTATCATATTGAATTATAAATATTTTACCACTAAAAAGTCGAGGTAAGTTGATTGATAAAAGTCTCCAAGATGTTGAGGATCCATTTAGTGCTATCAACATTGTATTGTTTTTTAATATGACATATTGGGCCGATCTATTTACTGCAATAGTTTTAGATACATTGTATAATAGTGTATCTTCTTCATTA